CTATTCGTTGCCATCGGACACTCTCGCCAAGACGTTTATAACTCTACAAAAGGTCATGGAAAAGTCGTTGGAGATGCTGGGCAGTAACAACTATAAGCTCCCTCATTTGCGCAAAGATGCCTCCATCGATGACCTACTGAGCTACAACGTCGAATGCAATGCTACCTGCGTCACCAGTGCTTTGGTTCACATGGATCTTCGCCTTGTCGAGGAAGCCCGCATGGAGGAGGAGTGTAATTCAACGGAACAAGTACCTCTGTAAAGACAATTAAAATACAAAATATTTTGGCCGTCCAATATCAACTTCTAGAGTCGAATACAAAAATCAAGACAACAGTTGTCATGACACCATAGCGAAAACAAGTTTATTTTTGGTAGACAATCAATACGGACCAGAGTAGTAATAGAAAGTCAGTTAAGTGTGCTTAGCAAACGTCTCTTCAACTAAACACCCATTTAGTAAACGTTGATGCTTCGCTTGAGTCTCCTTCTTTGTTCCAGCCTAGCCTTCTGGGTTAGCATGGCACGCGTTCCAGTGACAAGTCACTTGCCACGTCCAACTCTCCATCCGGCGCCGTTGACCATCAAAGTTGCTCAATGTCCATCGACAATGAACCGCGCAAAAACTGCAAATCTGCGTCCGAATGTGTCGCCTCCTTACCCAAGATCTACGCCCCACGGATACCTCACTCGTATGTCAGTCTTGACAGGCAAAACCTCGTACGGATTGCGTACGCGTCCCACCGAATTGGGCTTTCTACTCTTCCAGAATACCTGGAACACTGGTCAATGCATCCCACCAATTCGCCCTCCGCGGAAACCAACCCTCAACAACGACTGCGCAGTGGACGCCCCCCCATCTAGTACGCGGCCGAGGCCAATAAGTGCCCGCTGAGTGATTGTAACTATACAGCGTACTGGTATATCAATATTAATACTACTGATTTCCCTCCAACTTTTAAACGGCCAACATTATACATATTCCACAGTATATAATAGTTTGAAGGTATTAATTATTGATATAACCCATGACAATCAGTATCGTAAGGGCCAATGTCATGCGCTTTTTGGACTTCTTTGTTCCGGGAACTCTACGTCGTGTAATCGAGCGGTGGGGGGACAAGCAGTAGAAAAAGAAAGTTTTGTCCATGTTGTAGACATCTTGAGGATTGTAACCACTCGTTGCGTTTAGGACATCTTGCCGTCCTTCAAGGACTGCAGCGAGCGGCATGGAAGCGGCTTCGCCGTGTTGGAGCTTGCTGGTGAGTCGGTGTTTTCGTTGTAACTTGTGTAACCATCCTTTTGAAAAGGATATACGTTCGTCTTTGGGGATCCCGTGCGCGTCACAAAAGACGCCCGCCTGCTTCCGGATGAGTTCTCCGGTGATGCAGACGCCCAGTTCCTCACAGCGTAGTACCCATTGGAGGACTTCATTCTCGATGGCTGGTAGCTTAACATCTCCGTTAATCGAACGAAATTTGTTGTCCGCTCAGTTTTGCAGATTGGCATGTCGTTTAATTACATTCCCAATTGTAGCTTTTGTTGGAGTGGAAACGAGTGCAAATGTGTTCGCCGCCCATGCCGCCAGCTCAGAGTACGTCGCTTCTGGGCGACGAGTATGCTCAGCACACAACACATGCTTGTCAACCAAGGACATGCGCACCTTCATGTTTCAAAATAACACAACGCTACAGTATTGATGCCTTTCACTCTTAGCATTTGAATTTTCAAAACGTTCTGTGTAAGTTAATAATATAAGATTATAAAAATTATAGATTTTGCCCCGTTTAAAAGTCAGAGGGAAATCAGTATACTTTAATCGAAATTTACATCTTTGTCTAAAGAACAAGTTTTTTGTCATTCTTTTTCTTTCTGCATCGCGTTTTTTGTATTAAGGTAACGCATCGAAATCCCGAACACTTTTTGCCGAAAATTTGACCTGTCCATTCAAGTTGATGTCCTGGAGAAACTAGACTACTCTGAGAAAATCTGAGGGTACCCAAAGAAAATCTAATTCAAGCTCCATTTTAATGTGCCATTTCCAGCACAATTATTATCACAACTTTCACGCCGAGATGGGAACTTCAATAATTCCGAAATCGCGAACACTCAAATGTCTTGTGTTAAGTATGATGCTAAAACAATTTGCAAAATAACACCGTCAATTTTAATCTGGATGTTTAAATTCAAAACGTCAATGAAAATCATTATATTCGACACCATTTTAATGACAGAATTCAACCACATCATAGTGGATGCAAATAATATATTACAGTTTGGAATTAAATTTGATTGAATTTGATTGTGCCAACATGGAGTGGTGAATATAATCATAGCCAATAGAATTTGATCGGCCACCAAGGGAAGTTATTAATTGGTCAAAATTGACACTGTTCGCGATTTCGATGCTGTTCGGGATTTCGATGCGTTACCTCATATAGAAATCGGTAGACTGCAGCAAAAAACCTTTGAGACTGCATTGTTCTTTCGTCAAACTATTAGCAGTACTGTATTGATTTCCAGAGTACTGTAGCACTACTACGTAGTACTACGTAGTTGTCCAACGTTCCATATGTCACTTTTGACACCCAAGGCGCTCATTGGCTGGACCAGTGGCAACAGTGTCAAATCACATGACCAGGTCATCACCAGTCACGTGTTACATCCAACCCTGTTGGGAAATGGCAACTCCAAAGATGACACACTATTGCCTCGCGTTCCCTGGAGCAGCACCACTATACAGTACTAGTATAGCTACTAGTACAGCTGTACTCCACTACTACTACACCATGGTGAACCCCCTCACCCGGTGCGTGGAGGACTACTCGCTGCCCCCCTTCGCACAGCTTCGCCCTGACGACATCGCGCCCGCCTTGCGCACAGCCATGGCCGAGTTCGCGTCCGACTTAGTGGCCATCGAAGACGATTTGGCTTGTCCGGACGCTGAGATCTCGTGGGAAAGTGTGATGGATCGGCTGGAAATCATCGACGATCCGCTCGAGAGGCTGTGGAGTATCGTGACGCAACTGATGCAGGTGGTGAATGTGCCCGAACTTCGAGCTGCCCATGCCGATGTGCAGGAAGAAATCGTTTCACTGCAGAGCAAGCGAGCCCAAAGCCTCGTGGTGTTTCAAGCTATGACCACGCTGCGACACAGTGCGGCCTACGAGTCGTACACTACCGAGCAACAGGTATATGTAGTACGTGTGTACGAGGAGGAGTCTAGTGCAATCAAATTTTCCCACTATTACTGTAGGATATAGTTCCGACGACGACGACAACTAGTATGTACTAATGTACTAGGATGTGGTAGCGCATACTAAATCGAGCGATTCAACGAGCGACGTTGCGGGGCGTCAACCTTGTCGACAATGCCAAAGATCGCTTCAATGCGATTCTTGTCCGCCTCAAGACATTGGTACGAACTTGTACTATATATAAACTCGTCTTTTCATATATTATATATATATTCATTTTATATTTGTTAGAGCACCACACACGCCAACAACGAATTAGATGGCACGAGTGCTTATTCTCTCATTGTCACAGATCAAAGTCACCTCGAAGGCGTCCCGTTGTCGACCAAGTCGTTGTTGGCCCAGGTAATAAATATTTCCCATCATTCCCACAATACTTTTGCAAATAATCACACCCCAATATATATCTGCCCAATGAATATTTCGAAACTTTGGTTCAAAGTACTTCCAAGACTTGCTGTGGTTATCACCTATTTTGGACGTCTGGGTCAAACTGAAGTAACGAATGATTCACAGATATTGCCCACTGCGGATTTGTTCGAAATTGCCAACACATTGACGATTTTGGCCTTTTGTTTTACATATCCAAACTCACCGTACCTCTAAATATACTGATGAAAACGAATGGATTTGAATGCTATAGAATGCTGTGGCGGCCGGCCACGTCGGAGCAACCAGTGAAAACGGCCCGTGGAAGCTATCGCTCGAGCTCCCTGTATACAACCCCGTGATGAAATTCTGCTCGAACCGATCGATTCGAGAAACGCTGTGGCATGCCTTCAACGTCAAGGCCAACGCGAACGAACTTGTGGTGGTGGAGATGCTACAGCTCCGCCACGAGCTAGCCCAATTGCTTGGGTTTGCAACGTTTGCAGAGCTGAGTTTAGCCAACAAAGTCGCGCCGTCCGTCGACGCGGTGCTCGACACGCTCGAGGAGTTGCGGGACAAGGCACTTCCACGTTCGCAAGCTGAGCTGCGTCTGCTCGAAGAGTTTGCAGCTAGTCACGACCATCCATTGCCCCTGCAGCAGTGGGACATTCCGTATTGGTAAAACA